CTGCTCTGTCCTTCCTCGGCTGCAGCTCTTCAGGTTCTGCACAAGTTTCTGACATTTTCAGTTTTACTCACATCGTTTGGAATGAGGAGCTCCTGAGACGTGGTTTGGGAGTTGGCCTCCACGGCTGCTGAGAGGAAAGAGACAGATGAAAAACCACCCTGATCCAAATAAACAACAACAACAACAACAACAACAAACAGGAAGTGATGCAGACATACCTGGCAGCACCTGTGTGGCCGACTGGCTGATGGAGGCCAGGCTCTGCTGCTGCATCGACAGCTGGTGAAGCTTCGCCAACTGATGCAGGGAAACAAACAAACAAACAAACAAACAAACAAACAAACAAACAAACAAACAAACATGTTTCAGAGTCAGAGCTGTGAGCTCTTTGTTGTTTGTGTTGATGTCATGTTTTTACCTCTGAGTGTGGAATGCCGTAATGACTCTGGACAGCGTACGTCTGAAACACAGTGAGCACGAGTCATATCTGAACATCAGCTAAGAGCTAACAGCTAACAGCTGAAACTACTTCCTGTTTGGTTTATTAACGGTTATTTACCTGCTGCAGGTCCACTCCACCCTGAGCCACAGAGAACAGAGGGTGGGAGCTGAAGTCTGACGCCTCGAACACCTTTAGATACACAGAACCATCAGAACCATTAGGACCATCAGAACCATTAGGACCATCAGAACCATTAGGACCATCAGAACCATTAGGACCATCAGAACCAGTGGCAGGCAGCGCTAATCCAAAAATTAGCTCCGCAACTTCAAAAGCACTTATGCCATAGAAAAACTAGCAGAAGCTAATTTTAAAGCACAAGTTCAATTTGACACTTACTAGCTGACAATAATTCATGTACAATATATGTACAACACTGCCAACTAGTGGTGTATGAACTCTATAACAGCTTAATCCTACAACCTCTGATTGCTGGAGATGTGATTTCCTGAAACAGACCTTTGGCTCCTGGTGTAAAAATTAAAAAGTTGTTGAGGATTGTTAGTTCAGCTGCTTCTTTGTCTTTTTCTTTTGTTTGTTGTAGATTTTTCATTAAAGAAGCATCAATAAAGTAATTTTAAAACTGTTTAGTGGAAAACTGAAGCAATGCATTCTGGGTACATGACGGATTTGATTTGTGACGGGAAATGAAAGCACGGACAACAGGGAACTATCTTCCCTTCAAAATAAGAGCTTGGATTTTAAAGTTTTCCATGTAGTTGCTCCAGTTGACCACTAGATGTCAGTCTTCATCAGCATAACATCTTTAAAACATTTCTGAGTCTCTAACCCCGTTGCTTCGACCAATTACGTCAAGTATTGAGCTCCAGCGTTTAAACTTTTTTTTTAAAAAGGAGCTCTGATTGTAAAGTAAAATAAATCAATACATACAAGATTATAGTATGGATTACAAACGTTTACTGTTTTAGCTGGGACAGGGAGTTATATGCACTGCCTTCCTGCTACGTAAGCAGACACAAAGCATTGTGGGAAATCAGAAGCGTGACCCAAAGCAACAGTCAGCAGGATGTATACCTTCACAATAAGAGTGTTTATCTGGGAGGGGTGCTGTTGGATAGATCACATGTGTTGTGATTCATTGACAGTCATACCTTCTGCTGTTCAACATAATGATGACTGGTAGATAATTAGTTATTAGTGGTACTGCTTTTTAATTTTAGAAAGAGCAAATCTGCTTATGAATTATAAAAATTAGTAAGACCGCTGAAGCGCAAATTAAATGTTTAGGTCTGCATTTAGCGGATTTGCACTTTAGCAGCCTGGTGCCCGCCACTGATCAGAACCATCAGGACAAACCTCTTTCTCTTCCTGCAGCAGTGCATTCTGGGACAATCAGCACTTTTATTTCTGTAGATAATAAACCTTTTTGTTATCAAATCCTGTTTTTAAATAAGAACCTTTAGTTTTGGTCACGGTGAATGCTGACTCAGCATTTCTCTGCTTGAATCAGAAACACTGTTTTTCAGATAACTGTTGGTTTTATTTGTAAAGAAGAATAAACTGTGCTGTAGCTCAGCAGTAAACAGGAAGTGGAGACCCATTAAACCCACACACTCCTGTCAGACACACAACAAAGATACGTTTGTGTTTCTGCAGCACCAGAACCCCACGAGGACCCCTCCCCCAGAGGACCCCTCTCAGGAGACCAGAAAACAGCCTGAATGAAAGTTTGCAGCAGCGCTGCCTCGTTTCCATCTTTCAGAAGAGCTCAGGTGGTCTCAGAGGAGCAGCCGGGGGCCAAACCGGCTCCAGGAACAAAGTCTGATCCTCCAAACAAACAGGAGACAGGTTCTGAAGGTTAGCTGCAGCTGATGGGCTAAACGTGGATTTGCTACTAAAAACCAAAACCTATTGTCTTCACAACAAAAAGATCAAAAGAAATAAGTCATTTTTTTCAATTTTCTAATAAAACCTCCTCTGATGAGAAGAGAAACGAGCAGATTTGTCAGAGTTTTAAATGTATTTTAGTTTATTTAACAGGGTCATTGCACACTGCATTTATGACTCCTGGTCACATGACCTCCTGCTCACCTGGTTTCCTGCCAGCAGCACGGTTCCCGGGCTGGGACTGGGTCGGTACGGGATGGTGGCTCCCTTCGGTGGAGACTGCAGAGGGAACAGAAAGATTCAGTTAAATCAGAGCTCAGATTATTGGGTCTCAAACATCACCTGGATTAACACAAATCTGATTTTAGCCCAGCTGTTCTTACAGGTACGGAGCTGAAATGAGTTTTGGTAGTAGCTGAGAGTCATCTCCAACGCTCTCGTCTCAAACCAAGTTAGGAGATGTGAGGAGTTTTATTGTGAAAATAATTTCCTTCAGTTTAATCTGATTTAGTGCTGAGGTTTGATACTTTTAGATGCTGCAGGTTGAAGACAATCTATCAGATAAACTTAGATAAAAACATTTTATTTCAGTCTGAATAAAACAACGAAAAACATCACTGATAAAAGTTCAGCTGAGATCAGCTGTTTTCTGCTCCTCCCTGCTGTCGCAGATTCAGATGTTCTGAATACCAACGAGCTCCTGAAGCCTTCGATTTCACTGTTCCCACATCTGATCTGTGAAACAACTGATCTTCACAACCACAGCTTCACAACCATCAGATTCATCAAAATCATCAGATTAACCAGAATCATCTAATTTAATCAGATTAATCAGAATCATCAGATTCATCAAAATCAGATTCACTGGAAGCATCAGATTAATCAAAATGATTAATCAGACTCATCAAAACTAATCAGATTCATCTAAATCAGATTCACTAGAAGCATCAAAATTTATCAGAATTAAATTATCAAAATCATCAGATTCATCAACAATTAATCAGACCCATCAGCATTAATCAAAATCAGATTAATCAGAATTCATCGGATTAATCAGATTCATCAAAATCATCAGATTTTATTTATTTACCGTTATTTTACCAGGTAAGTCCCATTGAGATCTCATATCTCTTCTTCAAGGGAGGCCTGGGCCTGAATTGTACGTTTTTTTTTTTTTTTTGGGGGGGGAGAACCGGAGTACCCGGAGAAAACCCACGCAAGCACAAGGAGAATATGCAAACTCCACACAGAAAGACCCCAGGTATTAATCGGGGATCGAACCCAGGAACTTCTTGTTGTGGGGCGTCGGTGCTAACCACTGAGCCGTTGTTTTATTTTATTTATCAGATTAAATCAGAATTTGTCAGAATCATCAGATTATTCAGAATTAATCTAATTCATTAGATTCATCAGAAGTAATTAAAATCATCAAATTCATCAGAATCACCAGATTCTTCAAAATCACCAGATTCATTAGAATAATCAGACTCATCAAAATCAGATTCACTAGAATCATCAGATTAATCAGATTAATCAGATTAATCAAAATAATCAGACTCATCAGAGTTAATCAGAATCAGATTAATCATAATTCAACAGAATCAGCTGATTCATCAAAATCATCAGAATCATCAAAAGCATCGTATTAATTAAAATCATCAGATTAATCAAAATCATCAGATTATTCAGACTCATCAGAATTAATCAGATTCACCAAAATCATCAGATTAATCAGAATTAATCAGAATAATTAAATTAATCAGAAGTGAGTTATGAATTATAGATTTTATTGTCTGCAGATTGTTGGAGGTGTGAACAACAAGAGGAAGATAAAAAGTGAACTATGCAGTCACCTAAACCCGTTAGTGGGCGGAGCTGAAGGTTTTAGACAGATTTTACTGGTTTAATCACTTCCTGTTGGTGATTATGACTGACTGCAGCTGCTGGTTTCTCTGGACTTCACCAACACAACAATAATATTAACAGGTTAGTGTTGAACATTATAATGTCCCAACATAAAGCTGAACAACGTCCAGCAGACTATGTGACAAGATTCAGCAGGAGACAAAAACCTTCAGGTCTAGTTCTGAGACAGGTCTGGGACAGGTCTAAGACAGGTCTGAGACGGGTCTGGGACAGGTCTGAGACAGGTCTGAGACTGGGACAGGTCTAAGACAGGTCTGAGACGGGTCTAAGACAGGTCTGAGACGGGTCTGAGACAGGTCTGAGACAGGTCTGGGACAGGTCTGAGACTGGGACAGTTCTGAGACAATGGACCTGCAGGGGCACACGTACCTCCAGGATGACGGTACAGATGAGTTTGACACACTGGATGATGGCGTCCTGTCCTCCTGATATCGTCACCTCCCTCTCTGTGGAGTTGGGAAGAAGGTCACCTGCTACCTGCACCTGTGCACCTGTCGTCACACACACACACACACACACACACACACACACACACACACACACACACACGGTTTAAACTTGTTCATTATTTTTAGCTTTCAGCTACCATCTAGCTGCTTGTAGCTGTGGTTTTTCTCGTTTGTTCAGGTAAAACGTTCAGTTTAGCTGAAGCCAAACACTTTTTAAAGATGTTGTTGAATTTATCTTCGGCTCTTTATTTTCCTCAGACCTTGTTGGTTGACTCTGGTTGCCACAGCGACGGAGCGAGTGAAACGATCCTGTTGTTTATGAGCGAAGGTCCGTTCATCCTTTCACACAACGACTGGCTGCTTTTCTTCTCAGGTATGTGAAGTGTGCTCGCCTCGGTTCTGCCTCAAGGTCTCAGTTTGACAAACATTCAGGGAAATGTGGCAGAAACCAAGCAGCCACGAGTTTTACTCCTAAAACCTTTGATTTATTCACAGGAAACTGATGAGAAGCAGCTTTTAGAGACAAATAAAAATCATGAATTAAATGACGTAAAACTTTGTTCTGGTTCAACAATTAGTTAAACTCGAACAGTTTCTGTGTAAACTATGAAAGAGCTCGCCGGCTGATTTGTTGGTGATCAACCATCTCATATTTGAGCCAAATATATCTAAAAATGTCTGAGTTATGGACATTTTAGCATTTTAGTTATGGCAGCCATCTTGGATTTTTGATTTGGCATCAGTTTGTGATGGAGATCCTTCTTAGCTACCACCACATCAAATTTTAGCTAAAAGTGTTTTTAAATGGCTGAGTTACTGCAGTTTCAACTTAGCTCTGGTGGCCATCTTAGATTTTTAGTTAGCATTCAGAATTTGTCAAAGCTAAATCTTAAATTAGCAGTAGCATTTAGCTTAAACTTCTGTTTAGCATTCAGAATGTGTTGAGTTAGCTCTCAGCTATCAACCCACCAAATTTCATTTTTGTAGGTCTTAAAACTGCTGAGCAATCTGAGTGTCATGTTGGGTTACACAAAACCTTTGGTTCCGTTACAGAGGCTACTCCGCCCAGCAACAGCCTCAGCCAATCAGAAGGCCTGATTGTGATGTCATCACAGGGCGGGGCAGGAAGGATCTACAGCACGACACTTTCAAACAACAAGCCACTGTGTGAAAACTATAAGGTCTATTTAAATAATTCTTGAACTGTGAGCGACAGAAGAGATTGGTTTTTACTCGTGGAAATTTTCATATTTTTACAGAGCTTTATCTCTGATATATGACGGGTTTAAAATCATCATTCCTTTGCGTCTGAACAAATAGTAAAAAAAAATAATCATTGAAAACATAGGACAGGAAGTGGTCCTTCCCTGACTTCTGACACACGTTGAGATAAAAGCTTTTGTCTTACAGCAAAACCAGAAGTTTTGTCTGAAAGAAGACAAAAATATCCACGTTTTGATATATAATTTGTAGGGGTACAACAATACATGAACCTGTATCGAACCATTCAATTCAGTTCTTTAGTTTCAAGACACACTTGTATGGAACAATACAGATTTTAAAAATTTACTTTATCAACTTGTCTTCTGAAGATGCTCTGTGTTGAAGGATCAGTGGATCTGTGTTCGACTACTCCACCTAGGCTGTATTTTTGAGCCCAGATCCACTGAGAAACTTGTTGTTTCAGCAACATTTAATTTAAAAACTGTACTTTTGAGGTTAAACAAATGTTCATAATTAATTTAAATAAATTGCGAGTTAAGAAGAGCATGGACATTTCTCTTTTGTTGTATCAAAAACACATCGAACCGTGAGACTAAAGTATGGAACCGAACCTTGAATTTTCTGTATGTTGGGACTGTTTGTTTGTGGATGATGAAAACTGTGGCTGTAGGAAGAAGTTGTTCGATAAATCCAGAGTGTTAAAGTCAGATGGGAGCTGGGCTCAGTGTTTTCCTATGAGGGTATTTAATGGTAGTTTTGCATGTTGTCATTAAGATATAAAGTATAAAGATATGTATTTTAGATGGACGATAACAGGTGTCATCAGTCAAAGCTTTCCTCTGCTCTATCATTCATTTGATAAGACAAGCTCTAATTAAACCAGATTATTCATCGTTGTTCTTCCTGCTCTGCTGAAATCAGATTATTGTTTCACATCGTTAGAGTCGGGATGTACAACATGTGGTCCTGTGGTGCTGAGGAGAGGCGGAGCTTGTAGCAGACAGACGTCTCTGTGTTCCCGACTCATTATTACTGGTTTATTGATTGATGGCTCATCGGGCTCACCTCTCTGATCTCTTTGATCTTGGAGCCGCCCTTCCCGATCAGAGAGCCACACTGGCTGGCGGGGATGACCAGCCGCAGCGTGACCGGAGGTTTGCTGCTCACCGTGCCGCTGGCCACCAAGATGGACAGGTCCTGACAGGAAAGAACGAGAGATTAACTCAAAATATCTTCAAACATAATCCAAGTAAAGCTCGTCCTGACCAAGTGAACGATGGGTTTGTTTCAGATGAACCTGACACCTCCTGCAGGACCAACAGGCTGGGAGCGATAAAAAGAAATCTGTTCTTCATGTCGGAGGTGTTTTTATTCCAAACACGTCCGTCTGGTCCACCCAGATGAAGCATTTTATATTTCTGCTTCAGTTCAGCTCAGACTAATGGATTGGACTGACCGTATTCTGACAGGAGGTGATTTAGGCCCTTATTTATTAGCTGAGTTAATTAAAGAGAGAGAGGAGGAGGAGGAGGAGGAGGAGGAGTTCTACCGAAGAAGAAAAAAAAAATCAAAAATCAGAAAAAACAGCAGAAGCTTCTGACTGATGGAGTAAAAGAAGAATAAAATCTCATCTCAAATAAAGTCAGAACAAACAGCTTCCTCTGGTTCTGGTTTGGACTGGTTTCAGATCCTGGTCCCTGATTGGTCCCTGACTGCTTCCTGATTGGTCCGTCAGAAACTGAATCATCAATTATTTCTTGTTCTGTGATTGGCTCTCAGCTCTACTGGTGTTTCTTCAAACAACCATCTGGATCAAATTAAAAATGTCAGTTTGTTCCAACATGTTTTCTCTGTGAAGCTGTCTTTAAATCTCTTCATTAGTTTGAAGATTTCATCTGAAGCAGGAGAAACTTTAAGGCTGATTCACTGCAACCTTTAATTACATTCATTTTGCTTTCAAAACCTTTAAACTACGTGATTCACTTTCATTTTTACTGCTCTGTTAAAGGAGAAATATCATGTAAAATCACCTTTTTTGAGTTTTATATCATGTTATAATGTTATACTGTCATAAAAACATGTCCAAAGCCTTGCTCTGACTCATTCATCAGTGTTTTTATGAAGCCATGCTGAGGAGCAAAACGACAGGTGGGGACCAGGAACACCTCTGGGACCAGGAACACCTTGTGGGACGTGTCTTTAAGCTGAACTTCCTCATGGCAGAGCACCCCTCCTCCCCCCATCCCGCACACCCCACCCATGACTCGAGAAGGGGTTATCTGCGGAATCAAAGTGGGCGTGTCACAAGAGTGGGCGTGTCTAAAGCATAAACACTGTGGGCTACGAGGCCTACATGACGGTATCCTTAGACCCTGCTTGACCTCTTTACAGCCTGACCCTGACCCCAACACTAAGGTCAACCAAGTAGGGGTCTCCAGAAAAAGTGGTGCCGTACAGTAACGCCCCTTTTGTTCTTGTCCAATCAGGTGGTGCCGTACGGTGACACCCCTTTTGTTCTTGTCCAATCAGGTGGTGCCGTACGGTGACGCCCCTTTTTTTGCTTGTCCACTCAGATGTGTCCCTTTAAAAAAGTCCGTCAAATCAGGTGTGTCGCTTTAGAATTGCCTTTCGTTGGGACACGCCCACTCGTCCGCAGAGACCCCTACTTGCATGACTCCTACAGGCTCTTGGGCGAAAGCGAAAGTGAAACTTCACTGTCTGCTGCTCTTAACACTACAGTACTTCTCACTCAGTGAAGCTCTTTTCAGATTAAAAATACCTTTGAGGAAATGTATTTTCAGATGCGCGAAACAACCCCCAGCACCGAAATGGGCGGGACAGAAGCAGAAGGTGGTTCTTAAAGAGACAGAGGCCAATTTCAAGGTGTTTAGAAGAGGAAGTGATGAGAAGATAAGTTTATTTTCTATTTAAATATAAAAACAGTATTTTAATAACAGCTAAAGGTGACATAGATACTTTATTATGGTATAGTATTTAAATATATGCCTGAGAAACACATGATACTGGTCCTTTAAAAGCAGCTGACAGCGTTCTCTGGTCCTGATGCAACGTGTTTAGAGATGAGATGAGTCTGCAGAGCAGCTAAAGCTCCTGGTTTCACTTTGTTACTTCCTGTTTCATCAGACAGAAGCAGAGGATGGAGCTCGCTCTGACTCCAGCTGAAACTTTGGCTCCAGAAACACTGACGACTGATGAAGCAGCTGAAGCTGCTGGTAGATGGTTTTAACACCGACCCCCCACAGGTGGACCCCCCACAGGTGGACCCCCCACAGGTGGACCCCCCAGGCTCTACAGTCTCTGAGACACCTAGACCAGTCTCACTGGGACGAGACCTGGACCCAAACATCAGTTAAAGTTGTTTCTGCAGTAAATCCAGTCTGTGGAGGTGGTCCAAGTCCTGCGGTCCTGGGCCCGGTTCTGTTCAGGAGTGCTTCAGGAAATGAGACGTAATGGAGCCGGTTCTGATCATGGTCCCCAGAGAAACACTGTGTGTTTGTAGCTACATGCTGTGTGTGTACTGTATGTACTCTGTGTGTACTGTGTGTGTACTGTGTGTACTGTGTGTACTCAGTGTGTACTGTGTGTACTCAGTGTGTACTGTGTGTACTGTGTGTACTCTGTGTGTACAGTGTGTACTCAGTGTGTACCTCCTCCAGCTTGAAGGTGATCATGGTGAAGGCTCTGAACACACAGTCGGTGGGTCCGGTGATGGTGATGATCCTCTCAGGACAGGAGCCCTCAGAGATGTTGATCCTGGCGCTGCTCTGTGGGGCGGAGCGGGGGGGGGGGTAAGAGGAGGGGCAGAGGGGGGTAAAATGAGACAGGGTAAGACAAAGGTTAAGTGGAGGACAGGAAAGGAGGGGGGAGGTTAATGGAGGGAGGAGGAGAAAACACATTAGAGGAAGGATTCTGTGGGTCCAGACAGAAGAGGAGGAGAACCACACAGCTCCTTCCTCACTCCCTGAAGGAGTCACCTGTGAGGGAGGAAGAGGAGGAGGAGGAGGAGGAGGAGGAAGAGTTTCTGAGGAGGCTGGAGGGGGGAGGAGAAGAGGGGGCAGGACCAAAGTGAGAGAATGATTAGGTTTTAAAAAGATTAGGATGATTTTACCGAGGAGGAGGAGAGATGAAGATGTGATTCCAGGAAACAGAGGAGAAATGTAATAAATGAGGAGGAGGAGGAGGAGGAGGAGGAGGAGGAAGGGTAGAGTGGAAAGGATCAGGAGGAGAAAGAGAAACAAGGCAGAGCAGATATTTGAGGAGAAATAGGAGGAGGTGAAGAAAGAAGAGGTGCAGCAACAACTGAGAGGAGGAAACAGTTGTTCAGACTCTCTGACAGGATTCTGGTTTCTCTTCTTGTAGTTTTAGTTTTCCTCTCATCAGTTCTGTGTCTGAAACAGGAAGTCAAGACTAATCTGTAAACATCTAAGCTGACATTCAGCTGTAAAAACTGTAGAAATAAAAACAGATGAAATAGTCTTTAAGCTCCTTATATTAAACCTGAACTCATGAAAGGTTTTTAAATAAATGTGATGATGTCATCATGACGTCCATGTTTCATGCTTCAGTTTGAATCAATACAACCTGAAGAAGCAGCTTCAATAAAAACATGATGTCATCAAACTGCAGTGAAAACAGATCTGGTGTATTTTGTCCTTGAGAGGTAAAAGTCTGTTTAAATATTCATGTTTCCTGTTGTTGAGTTCCTCTGAGACAATCTGCTGTTTGATCTGCTGATCCTCCAAAATATCAACTTTCAGAGGTTTTTTTCCTATCTTTAGAGATCTTCTTTACATACTATATAAGCTGAACATGAGCCGAATATGAGCCGAACATGAGCTGAACATGAGCTGAACATGAGCTGAACATGTGCTGAACATGTGCTGAACATGAGCTGAACATGTGCTGAACATGAGCTGAACATAAGCCGAACATGAGCTGAACATGAGCTGAACATAAGCCGAACATGAGCTGAACATGAGCTGAACATGTGCTGAACATGAGCTGAACATGAGCTGAACATAAGCCAAACATGAGCTGAACATGTGCTGAACATGAGCTGAACATGTGCTGAACATGAGCTGAACATGAGCTGAACATGAGCTGAACATAAGCTGAACATAAGCTGAACATGAGCCGAACATGAGCTGAACATGTGCTGAACATAAGCTGAACATGAGCTGAACATGTGCTGAACATGTGCTGAACATAAGCTGAACATGAGCTGAACATGAATGGAACATAAGCTGAACATAAGCTGAACATGAGCCGAACATGAGCTGAACATGTGCTGAACATAAG